ATAGTCTCTCTTGGTTCTTATTTTTCACCCTTGCCCAGCCCTCCCTTCAACCCCTCCAGCCCTCCCTATTTACAAAAATTTTGTTGGACAAGGAATATTCTTAAAGGAAGGCTCCCACAGCTGCTGCCCAGCCACAAGAAAAGTCTCCTGTTCAGTGAACCCATGTCCTTTGTTTACATGAAATTTTCAAATAAAAGTTTTGTGTTTTCTTTTTTAAAGAGAGAATTTTGTGCATGTGTGCACAGCTGTTTCCTATAAATGTTATTGGGAGGAGATATCTAGAATTTTGTTGCCATAGTTCACAGGCAGGGTTATTTGTTCAGTTGGTTCACCTGGTTTCACTATGCTAGTTACTTGCGGCCAGTGCTGTTCTGGTTGCCTGTTGCCTGCACCATCCTCCTTGTTAAGAATTTAGAATAACACACCGTGTGTGAGTCACACAGAACTCGGCAGTACATGCGTGGTAGGATGGAAGAGTAAATGGGACCAGGTAGGCTGAGGACTGTTTGGTAACAGCAGAACCTGGTGTCAAGGCACACTGATCTTCATGACGTAGGCCTGAGTGAAGAGGCCAGACCTAACACTTAGCATTCGGAGGGGCCCACCTGGACATTTCCCCTGGCTATTATAGAGTTACTAAGTGAATAAGGTATGTAACAAACTACCCACAGGGCCCTTTGCTTCATAGCACCGAATTTCCTTTTCTGTTGGATTATGGGTATATGAGAAAATACATTTGTTACTCATTTCTCAGACCACTAATAAACCAGGTTTGGGCCTTTTATAAATAGAAGCAGCATGACTAGGTACAGAACATGGGCCATATGTGGGGTAAGTTCATCCCAGCCTGTTTTTGTCAGGTGCTAATTCTTAAATGACCACTAAGGTCTTATCACATGTCCAGAATTTCAGTGCATGGGAGAAACCAAAGTACCTCCAAGAGGCAAAAACTACGACCCTAATTTGCAGTGCCAATTACAGAAGCATTTTTTCCTCAGGAGCAAATGGCAATAATGACTAATATGGACTGGGTTTCTGGTTCTAATATTGGCCTTTAAATCTGGAAACTTGAAAAAAAACAAAACGAAAGGTCACACTGCCGAGTGAGGGGTGTGTGCCGGTAGTCCCAGCTATTTGGAGTCTGAAGCAGAAGGTTCACTTGACCCTGGAGCTCAAGGCCAGCATGGGTAACATAACAAGAGCCCATCTCTTAAAAGAACGTCACATCAGCATATCTTGTCTTCATGTATAGAAATCTTATCAGATTTGTAAATATTTTGTTTTATAAATTTATGACATCTATGATTGTGACTCCTTCATAACTTTATACGTGAGTAATAAAAAATTCATAGGCAGACTCAAACTACAGCCTGTAGATATACAATAAATGTCCTTTAACTATCTCTGAAAAAAATATGTAGTATGTGGCCAGGTGACCCTGTGGTAGATGAAATCAGTCAGGAAGGGTAGGGTTCTTGATAGGGTTCTTTCCTCCTAGCTAGACACTCACAACTAATCTTTAATAAAAGCAGGAATTGTAAATATGCTCGGAGTATAAACCACAGTGTAAACTGTCACCCACCAGAGTGAATTTTCTAGCTCATGAAAAATACTATATAGTAACACATATAATCTACATCAAGATTTTATTTTCTCAACCAAATAAGTACTACAGAATGACATTTAGTAGTAGCTGTAGTTGTACTTCCCCTTCTTTATTAAATCAAAGCGTACATATATGTGTACTGATTTCCTAGCTTTGTCAGATGAAACATGTCATTAGATGTGGAACTCTTAGGCTCTCGTCAGTGCTATTTGTGTTCATATTTGCTCATTCATTTCAGCTGACCAGTCAAACACCGAGTGTAAAACCTGGATCTTGTTCTTCTGCTCATTAGCAGGAAGCTTGGGATGATAGGAAATGTCTGGCTTCTCTGGCAGTGACCTGTAAGGTTTTGCTTTGATTTCACCTTCGGGAAACATCGGCTCTGAGAGCACTGGCTCCGAAAAGGCTTTTCTAGAATTTTCACTTTCCCTGTTTTGCCTTATGACTTCCTCTTCTTCAGAAATCTTCTTTCTCTTCTCCAGCACAGCGTTAACACAGATTGCCTGTATAATTAAGACGTGTGCGAAAATTAAGGTTTCTTTTAAACTGCTGACAACCACAGAGTAATCAATAAATGTTAATCTACATATTCTCATAAAAAGCGCTTTCTTTTAAGAACAATTTTCAGAGCCTCTTATCTCCTTGACACTGTTTCTCCTGATTCTTTTTCTCTTTTCCAACTGTTGCTTCTTTGTCTTCCTCATGGATGGATACTCTCTTAGCTCACCTTAAATATTGCTATTTTCCCTGTGTCTGTTGGCTTAGGATGCTTTTCACTTGACATGGTTCCACTTGTAGGGCATTAACCTCCAATATATATGATTTTCTTTTTCTGAACCCTAACTCCATCCTTGACCTCTTCCAGGCCCAGATGCACATAGGACCAATTATCAGGTCACTGAAAAGCTTCTATTATTTACTTACAAAATTCATAGTATTACAGATTGTATGGGATAATTTCAATAGCTTTGCAAAATTAAAGTTTATTTTGATTTTAACTGTTTTTGTTTTCTACAGCCATCTCATCCTACTCATTTTTAAAAAGTGTATTTATATTCTAACTGTTGATATCAATTTTAGATGAAATTCATATTTAAGATATTGGACACTTCTCAAAAATTTAAAATACTTGCAAAATATTTGATAAATTCAAGTTTTTAAAAAAATGTTTGAATTTTTTCAATGATGTCCTGCCATTTCATTCTTAACTGTTTCCATTTCCCTGTACATTTTAGAATCAGCTCATTAATACACACACACAACTATCATTGTATGTTTCAGTATGATAGAAGAAATTTTTTAAAATGTAAGAATGAGGACAAAAACATAACAATGATTAAGAAAAATTTTAAAAGCCAAAGTAAATTGAAGAACGTGTTATGTTCATGGATTAGGAGGAGAACTTACTCTAGCAGCTATCAGGATATCAGAGTAAGCTCCTGTAATTAATATAGGGCTGCACTGGTGCAAGAATAGACAAATGACACTCTATAAAGAGATCTAAATCTAAAGGATATGATTTATATCAAAGTGTTGCAGAAGGGTCTTTTTTCTGATACATTGAGGTAGATCAGTTGGGTACTCCTAGGGTGAATATTTGGCCCTTGTGCCAGTCTTACCACATGCAGATTTTATATAACATTATAAACATAATGTTATATTCTAGAAGTTACATTATTTTTATGACATTGGGTATAGGTCAAGATTCTTTAAGACACAAAAAAGCACACTTACTATAAAAGAAAACAGTAAACTACATTGAAATTAAGAACTTTTTTCTTTAAAAGATACTGCTAAGAGTGAAAAGGCACAGGATTTAGAAAATAAATTATAGGCCAAAATGAATCTCACAATGACAATGTTGAGCAAAAGACAAACACAAAAGATATATACTGTACTATATGATTTCATTCACATATAATTCAGAGAGCCAAACTGTCTATGGTATTATAAGCCAGAGTAGTGACTGCTTTCTGCGGAATGATAATGATTTAGAGGGGGGGCAAGAAAGTGGCTTCCGGAGTGATAATTTTTAATCTTGACTTGCGAGGTACATAGATGAATAGATTTTGTGATAACAGATAGAGCTGTGTGCTTTTCTTTTTGCATGTCATAGTTTTTGAAGTGAAGCATAAATGGCTATCAACAGAAAATAAAGCCCTTATAATTGATGCAGTTATTTACATTTTTGCCACACACAGTACTTATAATCAAAATACTATACACTAATACACATTGTGTTCCCCAAATTCATCGACCTAAAATAATGGACTCCCAAACCTCAGCCTTCATGGAATAGTAGCTGAAACAAAACAACTGTAGCTAAATGAAAGCAAAAACTAAAATGTTCTGACCAAGAGTCTTCAAATGGCAATAAACTCTTTGAAAATAAAATAAATTTAGTTATTAAAGCAAATTGGGTTTTGGTGAATGATTTGCCTCCTCAGAAAAGTAAGTCAAATATGAAATTATTTTGCATAACAAGAGAATGGTACCTTAGTTTGTAAATAGTACCATTGAAGACAATATTGCAAATAGTACACTGATTAAAATAAGTATAATTTTCTTACCAAATAAATTAGTGCTGCATATGAAGCATACATTATGCTAGTTAAAGCAGTCTTTGTGGGAAAAGAAATGATTTCAAACAAAGAACTCTTTCTGGCCTGCAAAAACAGAAAAGATTTTCTTACTAAAACAAAAATTTTCAGTGCTTCAATCTTATATTTTACAGTATTGCTGTAAAATGAGAATTTAAAATTTTTTCCTAAAGAAAAGTCATCTACGTTACATCAGGGCTTTTTCACATTGTGAAAATATATTTGTTTACTTTTTTCTTTTAATAAGATACTGTATTCTCTTTTACTAGTCAAAACTATGACAAATCTATAAAATGTTTCATTTCTGAAATCTAAATTAACTTACGATTACTAACTGTGCTTACTAGGAGGTACTGCTGTTCGCTTTGGCAAAACATTCTTTTCATTGTTCACATTCATGTAATTATTCAGTACTAAATTATTCACAACCTCAGTGAAACCAACAGTAATCAAAATACTAAGTATTTCCTGGAGATTAATGGCTTGCCTGAAAATGTCAGTCATGAGACTCATGCAGGCCAGCACTGACCTGGATGATCGTTAAGCTCCAGGGAAATGCCCTGTGCTCATATCCAGCATGCTGTTTGGAAACACAGAGGTGGTTTATACCAATAATGAATATGCCTCTCCAGTGGTTCTTGTTTCTGGAATAGGTGTCCCTCCTGCAAACACATCAGTATAACATATTCAGTTTAAGGGGACTGTGCTGACTTCTAGGCCTCTTCTGTTGCCTTGAGCAAGATGTAAGAGGAGGACATTAGACACAAACTCCAGGCCCTTCCCATTCAGGAATGACATGGCAGCCATGCTCCGAGGTGAAAGCCAACCCATTCAGTGGCTTTGATGAATTTCCAAATGGTACAGGTTGAAGCTAATAAAATTATATAAATGTCCGGTAGAAAGTTCATACAAACTTGAAAGGACAGTGTATACATGTTCATGAAAGAGTTATAGTTCAGTGGTAGAGTGTTTGCCTAGCATGTGCAAGACACTGGGTTAGATTCCCAGCACCATTAAAAAAAAGTCTTAAAAAAAAGACATTGAGAAGACTGAAACAGTCAATGATAACAAAATGGTTAGGAAAATTATACCATATCTACCCCCAAATAAATGATGCAATCTTTTAAAAAGTTCTTGTGATAAACATGTGATAACATTTTATTAAACAAACACATAGGACACTGGAACAGGTCCTGTTTAGTGTGCTTTAAGCAGGGTGTGGTGGCACACCTGCCCGGTCCCAGCTACACGGAGGCTAAGTCAGAAGGATGCTTGAGCTAGGGGTTCAATACCAGCCTGGGCAACATAGCAAGACCCTATCTTAAAGAACAACAGTAAAATCTTGTGCTTTAATAAAGTGTTCTATTTAACTCTTAATCACATGAAGTTGGTATTATTATTATCCCCATTCTACAAAAAGAAAACAAAGGAAATAGGTAACATGTCCTTGGTAATACAGTTGGGAAGTAGTAAAGTTAGATTTAAACCAGGAACCCTACTATAGGACCCAGACACTTAATCTGATCAGTAAACTGCTGCCTTGGAACACTTTGCTTGTGAACAATGACAAAAGACAGTAATGTTATAGCTCATATTTATTCATAGGGTTGCTGGGAAGTAAAATAAGGAAATGCTTAAAAATGCTAAGCAGAATTCCTGCACACAAGGTAGCATTAACAGACATGACAAATATTGTTAATACCATATATCTATAGATCTATCTCTATAGATATCTATGTCTCTATAGATGTGGTCTATAGATATCTAGATATAGATCTAGATATAGATATCTATAGATATACAGATATCTATAGATATAGATAGATACATGGATAAATGATTCAAAATTGTAATCATAACAAATGATTTCATCCCAACCAAAACTAGGCCAAACTAATCTATGCTGTTGGAAGTCAAGAAAATGGTTATCCTAGCAAGGGTGAGATTAGTGACTAGAAAGCAACCTGAGATTTGGGGGGAGCTGTTTATGGGTGATTGAACTATAGATTGTGCTCAATTTATGAAAATTTATTAAGTTGTATACAATGATTTGCACACTATTCTGCATATTTCAACTTAAAAGTATAAGAATTCTAATATTTTATGATAAATAGTCAACTTCGCATAGAAAAAGTTGGGGCATAAATGCACCAAAATTTTAACAGTTTCAGTATTTTTTTTTTTTTTTTTGGTACTGGGGATCGAACTCAGGACCTTGAACTTGTGAGGCAGGTGGCAGCACCACTAGCTAAATCCTGGGCATCAGTATTTTATAGTACAGCTTTGTCTAGCTAACATTTGCACAACAGTCATGATATACCAGATTCTAGTCTAATAGCCTGACTTGCACTGTCTCATTTTATCATCCAACAAGTCTATGAAATAGGAATATGGATTTAGAAAGATTAAATTCTTTCTTGTTTTCTGTATACTTCACGTTGAAAGAGCATATGGTATTTTTATAAGTGAAATTATTAAAATGTAAGTGTACTCTGCTAGGTGTTCCTAGCTAGGTATAGGAAAAAAATGTATGTTCATCTTTTACCTACCGCTACCACGACTGAATGTACAACAAAATGGTCCATCACAATTTTCCTGCCTCCCTTTTAAGTGATTCATGGAACGCTGAGACCAAGAATACTATCTGCCTCTTAGCTAAGAGTGTGTAGTGGGAAGCTGTTTCTTCTTCCTTTCTCTTCAGGCAATACCAACCCTAGATTAGGGATAGACTGGGGAAGTTTTAGCCCGCTCCCTTCATAAATCAACCTGGAAATTTTCCCAGAGTCCCTGGATTTGGTAGAGTTTCCAGGAAACGATCCCTGGATTGTTTTCTGCTGCTTGCGAGCATGGAAGTGACAGCACACCTTTGAATCTGGCTGTAAGGCTACAAGGAGACAAGCATATGAGAGCAGAAGCTTCAGGAGAAAGAGAAGCAGATGCCTGCCACCGAAATGCCTCCTAGCAGAGTGAAGAAATTCAGAGGCTTGTGAAAATATAAATACAAGGCGGAAGGGCCACATTTGGGGCTCACTTGCAATATATATTTTTCATATTAAAAACCATTCTATTTCATTTTTAGCTTACTTTTATCAAGAAGAGTGCATGGTAAGAACAAATAGAAATTTGGTAAATAGGAATCTTTAGATTATCTTGGCTCACTCAAAAATATTCATTTCAATCTTATCTTATGAGTTTTACTTTATTTGTGTATTTCAGATAAAAGTATTTGTCATCAATGTTATGTCCATATTTCTTTTTTTAAAGCTTGGTAACTTTAACATTATATGAATATCTGAATATTAAAAACATTTCAGCCTTTAAAATTCTCCCACATGATTTTGACTGCCTCATCTCATGGAAGAAACATCTGTATTCATTTTATTTTCACTAATAATGACATAAATCAGAAGAAAGCCAACTACAAGCAGTTGAGAAAACAAAGAGGCACCTATCCATGGCCTGAAGGTTGGAGAAATACCACGTCAGACTTAGTTTAGGTTGTCCAAAACCACCTTGATAAGCAATACAAGGAGAGTCAAAGAAGAAACTCTTAACTCTGTGATCCGTAAACAAATATTAGAAAAACACTGCATGCTGTTAATTTCTAGGTCCAGAAGAAAAAAGTGTTACTTGTAAGTTTGCAAAAGCAACATGCCAATGACTTTGCCTAGCGACTCACACACTCCTGAGTACATGAAAGACTCCTAGCAATTCGTAAGGAAAGCGGGAAAGCTGTTAGACTTGGTTTTCCCCGGTCTCAGCATCATAGAGAACATTGCCTCGAGCAAACTATGAATAGGTGGGGTCCTGTAAAGGTCAATGTCCCAATCTCTTGTCCAACTTGGAATATTTCTTCAAGAGGTTCTACTTCCCAGGAAATGTCCTCTTTTCCCACCTCTAAATCACACCAGCCACATTACCCTCATTATGGGCCCATCAAAAATGCACAGAAGTTCTCGGTACTTGTAAAGTTACAGTTTAAACCCCAAACTGAAGTCTACCTTGGAGGGCTAGAAGTGAGGGGAAAACTTCACTTAAATTTCTGACCTCATCCGGAAAAGAGGGCCCCAGTTCCCTGGGATGAAACACCGAGGGATGCAGAGGCTGAAGGTTTGCGTCACAGTCACCCAAGTCTTATACCCCAGTGCCTGAGCAAAGCAGAAACCATCATCTCGGTGGCCATGACAGGGATGAGCTCCAGTCCTGTGGCCTTGCGCTGGCCTGCCAGAATCAACAAACATGTCTGCAAGCCGAGGCAGCTTCTTGGCTGAAGTCAGCACTTCAGCTGATTATCTAGGTCACTGAGGCGAGGGCAGCTGCAGGCGTCACGCAGCCAGGCCACTCACAAGGCTGGGCAGACACACCATTCTGTGCGTTCTGGGGCTGCCCAAGTTGGAAAGCTCCAGGGAATTCTCTACTCAGTTTTCCATTCTTCACCTCACAGAACCAGCTGTGTCCCATCACTTTGATCTCAGCCTGCAGAACCTGAAGGAGACTGGGGAACAGCCTGGCTCAGCAGCCATAGAGCCAGGTACCAAGGAAGCATCTTTTAACAAGATGGCCAGTGGACGGGGTTGTCCCCAGCCCTCTGTGTTCAGGTGACAACGGGTTATCAATCTTTTTTAGGTCACCTGTGTCAAGTGAGTCTTTGGGAGAGATTTCAATATGCTAAGAAATATAGGACATGCTCTAGACCTGAACAACCAGCCAGAAAGGCCTGGGTGGACTATTAAGCAAGCTCCTGGCCCCTAGCATCCAGTCTCTGCTTATCTTTGGAAGTCATTACTGTATGCTTCACCTCAGCCCTCTCCCCCCATCAAAGGGCTGAAACACTTGCTAGTTATTGTGAGTGTCCTAATGAAAATGTTCCTCCATCTTCGTGTTCTTCAGGGAAGTAATCTGCCTCGCTGGTATCAGCATTTTAGTTCTTCCAAGTACGCAGGCATCTTTCCATCTCACCCTCAGAGCAGTGACCAGGCAGCACTTGAGGAAGTCCCCTGGAACATACCTTTGGATGGGTTTCTAGGCCACATGCCTTCCTACAGCCAAGTTTTCATAAAGGGATATCCTCCTGTGCTCAGAGCATATCCCTTTGCATCGTAATCTCAACTCTCACCTATTTTGATTCCCCACACCACAAAGCTCCACTTAATTCAGGTCAGCTTGGGGAATTCTTGAAGGAATTCAAGCTGGATTCTGTCTTCTGTGGCTTCTCCATGCTGTGACACCTTGTGTCACACTCCGGTACCATGGATACTCTCCATCCACAGAGCAATCCATTGACTTTTGCCTCATCTCACATCACATATGTTCCTCTGTTTTACCTTTGGCTCTCTGGGCCAGGGTATTCATTGTCACACTTTGATTTCTGTCCTCACTGAGCCTTTCAGATTTGACCTATGTTCTTTCTTGCTACAGCTTAGTTTCCTCTTAGTGGCAATCCTGATTCTCTAGCCTAGCTACTATTTATCATTCAAGCAAAGCTTCTTCCTTTCCTTACCCCCAGCTCTCAAGGACCCTGGAACTGCTGGCCTTAGCCTAACTTCCCTTGTCTCACCACAGCCATGCAGAACTACTTATGTTCCCCAAATAACTCATGCTGTCTCTCATTTCAGTATCTTAAAATGTACTGTTCTCTTTCTAGGCTGTTCTCTTATTTCTTCATCTGTCCAATTCTTCCTTCGAGTCTCAGATAAGAATATGGTTGTCTTCTAAAAAGTCTGTATTGACCACTCTTTGGAATTCTGTGGCTCTTCTTGGTACTTCTATAGTATACTTTGAAACCTTTAATCTTGTTTTTCCTATACCTACTGACATTGTTTGCTTATTTACCTATCAGTCCCACAGTCCATAGGGCAAAGGGCAGATACTTCTGAATCCCTAGTACCCAAACTAGTGATTTTACATGTCAAGTTTTTGATAAATAGTGTCGAGTGCATGAAAAAGTTGAATTGTATTCCACTTACTTCCCCAAAGAAATTTCACCATCTTCTACTAAAACTTGTGAAGGAAGATACCCTGTAAAACTGAAAGACATCTGGATCCAGCAACATGGCACACTGAACCCATGTGGAGCCACTCACTCCAAGCACCAAGAAATTCCACATAAATTAACCCCCGAGATGTAATATAAAGCAGAGTTTACAGAGAAGAAAAGAAATCCTCACACCTAGAACCAAGAGGGAACTACAGGCCAGAGCAGGGCTATCTGAGCTTGTATCCCAGGGTCTCTGGGCTGTCCTGGGCCCTTTGTGGCTGCTGAGCCTCAGTGCGGCGGAGACTGGAGGTGACTCAGGTGGATGAGAAGTGGGGACTGGGCCTTCGCAGAGCCGCCCTGTCAGTGAAACTGGACTCAAACAACTGCACTCACCAATACACAGAGAAGAGAAAGAAGCTCTTCTCCATTTGGGGCTGGAATTTTCCCATAAGGAATTAAAACCTGAAACTTACACCTTATAAAAGGGTCTGAATTCACCCTATCGGTGGGATGAAGGAGAAGCTAAGCTGAGAAAATATAAAGATTAGTCCCAGGTGACTGAGATCCCTGGACCACAAGCAAAATTCCTCTGGAGGCATAATTCCACCACCAAGGACAAAAGGGATTTTTATTTAAAACAAAAGTGGGCTGAGAATATAGCTCCGGGGCGGAGCACTTGACTAGCATACCAAGGCCCACCGTGAATTTTTTTTTTTTTTTTGGTACCAGAGATTGAACTCAGGACCTTGTGCTTTCAAGGCAAGTGCAGCGCCACTGAGCTAAATCCCCAGCCTGGTCCACCATGAATTTGAGGCCAGCCTGAACTACATAATGAGGCCTGTCTCAAAATAAAGAAAAAATTACATGACAATAACAAAAAAACTGGAGAAATTCCTATTAAAATAAAATAATGAAACATAGGAAATTATCTCTAATGACTATGATACTTCATAGACCACAATAGTCAGAAAAATGAACACCCTCTCAATACTTCAAAGAATGTTTAAATTACCAGACATAAATAAATAAATATGTTCTAAATGATTAAAGAGACTTTTTTAAAAGAATAAACTTATAAAACACACATTGAAAAGAAAAACTCAGGAACTTTCAGCTTAGTACCAAATAGAACTTTTAGAAATAATAAATATAATGACTTAGATTTAAAATATACTGAAGAAGTAATAGAGTATTTTAGACACAACTAATTGCTCGGCTGCATCAAGAAGAGATGAGGTAAGGAAAACATGAGGAAGGTAAATACACACAAGGAATAAAATGAGAGGGTCCAAAATGTATTTTGTACGCACTGCAGAAGGAGAGCTCAGAGAAGTGACAAAGAGACAATATTTGAATTGCTAAGAATTTTCCTGAATTGATCAACGTGTCCTCAGATTTAGGAATCAGAATGATCCTCCTTTCCTTTAGTACAGTTTGGTAACAGCTGACAACCTCGGAGTAGTCCTTTTCTAGACACACACCTGGAGAATGCCTCACACACACAGACAAGGTGGCATTCACGAGCATGTTCATGGAAGCACTGTTTGTAAGAGAAACAAAAAAAGGAAACAATTGTCCATCTGCCCAGCAACTGATAAACTGTGAATTCTTTTTTCTGACACTGGAACACCACAAAGAAGGTAAAAGAAACCATAGCTACATACATCCATCAAGTAATGTTGGATAAAAACAGGAAGTTACAGAATGTTATGTGTAATCCAGTATAATTTGCATAAATTTTACATATATAGAAAAAATGCTACATACTCTAAATAGATGCATACAAATGTAGTAAAATACAAAAGTATGCATGGACATGCTCACATCAACTTCAGGAGAAGAGCCTGGGGTATGGTTTAAATCTTGATTTATCGAAAAGACTGAAGATAATAAGACATATTACTACCAATTTAAGCTTGCTTGAGATTCCTGATGAATTACTTTCTGTGTTGTGAAATATTTCCTTTATAAGAATTTTTACATTTAAAGCTAGAGCCTAGGACAATTAGAACAAGATCAAAAGAGAAGGGATTTCCTAAGTGTTGATTCTGAATTGGTGTCAGAGGGGATAGTCAAGGCTGACATACGGATCTTGCAAAAGAACTTAGTCCCCAATCCTGTTTCTTTCATCTCAGGTCCTTGGAATAAATTATCACAACCGAGCTCTCAATTTACCTCAGCATCTCATCGTCAGGCAAGTCAAGTGGCAAACATACTGTGTTTTTTAGTTCTCATTACTGGATAAAAGGAAACACAAATTCAAATGGAATGGAAAGGTACAATTTTTTTTCTGCCAGTGCATTTTCATGAACATCGAAAGACTATTCTCCACAGATGTCTCTCGTCCTTACACAGGTTGGATCTTTGGAGCAAAGGACATACGGGAATAGCTAACTGCCTTGGAAGCTAGAGAAACTGTGTCCCTCTGAGAGAGATAAAGCCCTGCTCTTCTTCCGCTGATCTCTGCTTTCATTCCAGGGTGATGAGTAATCCCTCTCTTTCCTACGAGAGGGGACTGGACAGACTCTCAGATCCACAGAGAAACTCAGTCTCTTCATTTCAAGGTTCCTCTTCCTTGTGTTGTAACCTACTCCAAACACAGACAACATCTGATCCTCATCACAGTGCCCTCTGGGAATGAAGCAGAGGAAACCAACAAACATTGCCGTGGTTGATGCTTTTACTGTGGATAACAATCTATGCCCCTGATCCCAGGCTCTTGTGCCTGTGTGTGTGTGTGTGTGTGTGTGTGTGTGTGTGTGTGTAATTATAGCACACTAACTGATTACCCTGAAAGTAGTATAAAATCTCAGATTTTAGCTGGGTGTGGTGGTGCACACTTGTAATCCCAGCACTTGGGAGGCTGAGGCAGGAGGACTGCTGTGAGTTCGAAGCCATCCTGGGCTACATAGTGAGTTCAAAGTCAGCCTGAACTACATATCGAGACCCTGCCTCAATCAATCAATCAATCAATCAATCAATCAATAAATAACCAAACTGAAATCTCAGCTCCTTTATAGTTCTGACTTAGCAGAGAAGCAAAAAAGACTGACTAGGATAATGGACAACATCTTTAAATGTGATTTCCTATTAATTTTACATTTCTTATATAAACACTATCAAAACTATGGGTTTAGCAATGCAAGGAAAGAAACACCAAGGCAAAACAGATTTAAAAGGACTTTTCAGAGAGAATTAAAGATTATATAGTTTGGCTGTTTCTTTTGATGATCTAAAGACACAGCAGTAAGATTTGTAGTTTTTAGAGAAGGCAGTAGTTAAAACAAAGCATTTTTTACTTTCTTAAATATCAAGTATTATAAAGGGAACTTTAATAAATGTTCTCAGGCAGTTTGTATTTGAAATATCTGCTGTTTTTGAAAATGTCAAAATCTTTGATCAAAGAAAGACTCAGAGTCCTCAAAAACTAAAACTAGAAATTCCATCTGACCGAGCTCTTACCCTTCTAGAAATCTTCCTAAAAGAGTTAAAGACATCATATTACAGTGATACATGCACACCCATGTTAATAGCAGCACAATTCGTAATAGCTAAATCTTGGGAACAGCCTAGATGTCCATCAACAGAAAAATGGATAAAGAAAATGTGGTATTTATACACAATGGGCCATAAAGAAGGGTAAATCTGAGTCATTTGTAGGTAACAGACGCACCTTGAGACAATATTATGTAAAATCAGACACACAAGCATAAATATCACATGGTTCCTCTTACATGGGAGACCCAAAGTATAATTAAAGAAGAATATAACCTAACCTAACCTAATTTGAGCCTCACCAATTAAGAGATAGATCCTCTGAAAATGGGAAAGGAAACTAGAGGTGGAAGGTGAGAAGGGAAGAAATGGCAAGAGGCAGGAAGAAGAATTAAGAGGTGTCGAGTGCACATATCAGTCCCCCACAGTGAGCTTAACCATTATGTACAGCAAACACAATAAACATTCTAAAAATGTTTCAAGACTCCTACCTACATAATGGAATGACATTTTTGTGTCATTTTGTGAGACACTTTTCATTTTCTCGTCATCTTAGAACAACTCAGAGTTCTACTTGCAGACCCACTCTGTCCAACCCCTCTCGGGTCTCGGGATGTAGACAGTGCTCCAAGCCCAGCTGTGGCCACTAAGTGGGGAATCCAGCCTGAGCCCTCGGCATCCCATTTCCCTGGTGCAGAAGGGAGGGAACCCGAGCTCTTGGCCAGGAGCCGATCTGGGACTCTCTTTCCTACTGTAACTGAGCCTGGAAGGATGTAGCCAGGAACAGCCACAGTTCGCTGAGGGAAAGCCAGTCCTGAGTGAAGTTGGCACGAGGAAGCAGAGCCGAGAAGTGGAAAGAAAGAAACAGGACCAGAAGGCTTCAGTTTCGTACATGCATCCAGCTGTTTCCAGGACACTAACAACTCCACATGGTTCACAGCGTGAACTAAAACATCTTTTTTGGCCTAACCTAATTTGAGCCTGACTTTCTGTCCTTCAGTAGAGTTCTAACTGACTCACTCTGGGGCTTCGATGCCAGACTAGCAAGACTGAATCTTTTGGAGTGAAAAATCTAGGATATTTTGAAAAATGTACAGATTGAAAAGCCCAAAGTTTTGTGCCATAAAGTTTATTAAAAGAAAAAACAGACCTGAAGAAAAGTGGACCTGAACAACCTTTTTGTTTGTTTGGTTGGATTTTTGAGACAAGGTTTCCGCTATGTAGCCCAGGCTGGCCTCAAATTTTTGGCAATCCTCCTACCTCAGCCTTCTGAGTGCTAGGACTAGAGGGGTGCACCATCATGCCCGGCCCAGCACCTGAAAAAGTTATAACGTTTTCAGAGCTGTTTCCCTTAACAAAATTTAATAGCCTCAATAAAACAGCACAGAAAATGTAATCTGAAATGTACTTAAGTATTGATGGCCTATCTGGATGAATTAAATTTACTCAATGTGTTATGCTAAGCAATGATTATTTTGGAAACATACAGTGTTATGGGAGAAAGGAACAAAACACCACCTCTTTTTTTTAAGACAGGGTCTCATCCAGTATTGCCCAGACTTCTTGTAACATTTGGGGCTCAAGCAATTCTCCTGCCTCAGCCTCCAGCCTCATTCTTACCTTGCCCAGGGAAACACAGCTATTTTTACAACTTACTGTAGAATTTCTTTCAGGATTGACATAAGTGGTAATTTACACACTTGTGTTTGCACACTTGTTTTGTGTGAACAAAGGTACACGTTACTTCCCCTTTCCCATGTATTTAAGGCAGAAAATATTGAGAAAAGGCTCAAGCATTCATTCCTCTAGCCCAGTAAACCTACTTTACATGGAGGACGACGTAACGGGGTGCACTTTCACTTTCCAGATCTTGTGGTTTCTTAGAAAGGGTTCGCGCGTGCGCCCTGGGTTCTCACCTGGCCGCGGTCCGGACCTGGGCGCGGCCGGGCCGCATGCAGCTCTCCCAGCAGCGGGCGGGACCTGGCCCGGAGATCCAGCAGGCACCTGGCCAGCCCGGGCCGCAACAGCCCCGCCAGGGCCTGGCAGGTTAGCGACAGGCTGCTCAGGCCTCGCACGAGCGCCCCCCGGTTGATTCTGGCCAATGTCGCAGCCGTTCTGATTCCGGGTGATTTCTGCTCGGGTCCTTTTTCCTGAAAAATAGGCCTTTGAAAAGTAAATGACAGGCGATTCTCTACCGCACTACTCGCCCTGCGTCTGGAGGACTGGGTGTCCCGCATGACACCTCCTGCCTCATTGTCCCCTCATTTAGATCTTTACCAGAGTATATTTTTTCTTTAGGATAGATCTCCAGATGTGAAGTAATCAACCAAAAGAGGGAATTTTTCATTTTTCTCTGGGCTTATATCTCTTTTTTTGCATTGATTTTTAAAGAGTGCATGCAGAAGTCAGTACGAATTCTTATTCAACATCATTCAACGTTGAGATTATTCAAACAGTAGTATGTATTCAAAACTGTAACACATATTTTCCCAGTTTACTTTTAAAAAATCTTTAATGAAATACAGCATAGGTACAGTATGAAGTATGTGTACAATTTAAGGCAAAATAAAACAAATACCCTGTGTGCTAATCACCAAGTTTAAGAAATTTATATATCAAACTGGGGGTGGTGGCACACGCCTGTAATTTCCACACTTGGGAGGCTGAAGCAGGAGGATCGCTGTGAGGTTGAGGCCAGCCTGAGTTACACAGTGAATTCAAGGCCAGCCTGGACTACACAGTGAGACCCTGTCTAAAAAAGGAAAAAAGGAAAGAAAAAAAATATGACATTACCAACACTCTGACTTGTAATTCCTTCTTTGCTCTTCGGAAAGTGAGCCGTGGGGAAATGATTTCAATGTGGTTGATTGCATTTCCAGCCAACAAGCAAGTGTAGTTCCCATCATTCATTTAAGTAGTTCTATGGGCTATTCTGATGTTTTAGTGTGTAGCTTGGGGGAAAGTATTGGTTCATATTTAAATAGTGGTTAAAACAAGTAATTTTGTATTTGTTTGTTTTTTAAGATAGAGTCTCACTATGTAGTTCAGGCTGGCCTTGAACCAACCCACAATTGTAGTCCAGGCTGGCCTCCAATTTACAATGATCCTCCTGCCTCAGCCTCCAGAATGCTGGGATTACAGGCATGCGCTACCATGAATGGCTCAAAACAAATAATTTTGAATCTCCAAGTATTTATTTGTTCAAACTAAATATTAACTTTTTATTTTATTTTATTTTTGGTACTGGGGATTGAACTCAGGACCTTGAGCTTGCCAGGCAGGTACGGCGCTACTGAGCTACATCCCTGGCCCTAACCCGAAATATTTAAATACAAAATTTCTTTTAAATGGATTTTTAACCTGTAATTCCTCAACTTTTAGCCCCAAATCATTTTTATTACTGTTATTTTGTCATCAAATTCCACACTTCTCTTGCTGTTCAGCTTTTATCACTGGAGACCACCTGAAGCTGTTCAATCTCTCAGCGAGCATGTATTTCTGCAGCATTTGGGGTCCTATTGGGGTTTCACTTGTTAATGTCTCTGCAAAGAGTCCATTAATCCACCTGTGGTCTCGGTGCTCCTAGTCAGTGCTGACAGTCCAGAGAGCCGTCTGAATTGTGGGCAGCTAAAATTGCTGCAATCTCAAAGCACTGTGGAGGAAAGCAGACCTGAAAGCAGTTACAACGGCAGCTCGAAGGAGCAGAGCAGCTCGGTGCGATCGCCTCCTATTGCTCTGTGCCTTGACGGCGGCTGGGAGCCCAACCAGGGGAGAAACCACATTGTCTGCCCTAGCCAAAGCTCCAGCACATCGAGTGTGTTTTTCTGGTGACTTTGTTCTTTGTTGCCCGACCTCTTCCACCTCCTCAAGGTGGAGCAGTGAAATTAGTTTGGTTTCATGTCTTACTAGGATTTACTGCTGTTTTGGGAACAGGACATGTGCAGTTCCACCTCGACGACAACCTTGTCTACTTGTCCAGGAGCCTGCAGTAGTGCAGGGACCCCTCGCTCATACTCTGCAGTTTCCTCACCCTTATTTTGCAAGTTTATTTACAAAATCCTGGTGATCTGTGTATGTTAACCAGGATTCACTGGTTTTGTGCATCTATTTGTGTTAACCAATCTGAGTCATTCCCCCAAACATAGGTTAGATGTTTGTCCCTCTTTATAATTTCTCCAATTCTTTATTCTTGAATAACAATAAGGCTATTTGTTAGTGACAATCTGTTAAATTTTCATGTATAACTCATAATTTGGGTTGACAAAAACAGCATGTATTATATGTAACACCTCTAATGCAACTGTTGATTGCAATAATGGCATACTGGACTTAATGTTATCTTTCCAGTTTCTTTCTTTCTTTCTTTCTTTCTTTCTTTCTTTCTTTCTTTCTTTCTTCCTTCTTTGCTTTTCTTTCTTTCTTTTTTCCTTCCTTCTTTCCTTCTTTCTCTTTCTTCCTTTCTCTTTCTTTCTTTCTTCCTTTCTCTTTTCTTTCTTTCTCCCTTTCTTTCTCTCTTTCTTTCTTTTGGTATGGAGGATCTAACTCAGAACCCAGTGCTTCCAAGGCAGGCTGGGCACCACAGAGCTACATCCCTGGCCCTGTCTTCCCAGTTTTGATCCCATAATAAGCTCATGGCTATTTCTGACAGTCTAAACCTGTTCTTAATGACTATCATTTTTGTTTCCCTTTAATGCTCAGCTGTTATTTGACCATGTACCTTTATAGTTTTTTTTCCATTTAACTCAGGACCTTGGGCTTGCCAGGCAGGTGCGGCACTGCTGAGCTACATCCCTGGCCCTTCATGATTTTTTAAAATGCTTTCTTTTCTTTCTTTCCTTTCTATCTTTCTTTCTGTCTGTCTGTCTGTCTGTCTTTCTTTCTGTCTTTCTCTCTCTCTTTCTTTTTCTGGTATTGGATAATGAATCTAAGGCCTCCCTCCTACTTAAGCAAGCAAGCACTCCACCAGTCTATGCTTTTCTTCCTCCTCCTCCTTTTCCTCCTCTTCCTCCTCTTCCTCTTCTTCTTCCTCTTCCTCTTCCTGTTGTTCTTCCTCTTTTTGAGAGAGGGTCTCACTGTGTAGTCCAGTCTGGCCTTGAATTCACCATGTAGCCTGGGCTGGCCTCGAACTCACAGCAGTCTTCCTGCCTCAGCCTCCTGAGGGCTGAGCTTACAGTCATGTGGCACCATGCCCAGCTGTTTTCCTTTTTTGATAGTTTCTTTGATGCCTTTGAAAGAATTGTTACTGTCACAACAAAAATATTCCTGACCATCTTTATTCAACCTGCCACAAAACAGAATCAGCTCTTTGCAGAAAAGACCTCCTTGTTGATTTTGAGAACGGTCTAAGAAAGAAACCCAGGCACCAGGGTGCAGGTGGGGTGGTTCTTCCCGGCTCTGGGGACAGGAAGGTGACCTCGGAGGAGAAGCTACTTACATTCCCTTGGGAGTCCCTTGGGCACAGGATGAAATTCCTTTTTTACAAAATCGATTGACAGTAATTTCAATCCACTCTCACTTTTGGTGAGTTACTTACTTTCCTAGTTCTAGCAGTAGGAAAACTTTCTAAATAAAAATATTTTTTGGCTACCAGTTTTTCCCTTTTGTCTACTATATGTGCTACATACTTATTTTTTACCAAACCGACTGTGTAAATTTAAATACTGACCCCCGATTAGGAAGTCCTCACTTCCTGTCTGTCCTTTAGATAATTCCTTCCGTCCCCCATCATCTGAGCGCATCTCCAAATGCCCCACACCACTGCCCCCCTGCCCCCCCACTTTAGCGTCCTTGTGACCTTTCCTTCAAGGTCACTCACCGAGAGCCTTGGCCTCAGCTAAGAAGACTGGTTCTACAATTCTGCTCCCAGTTCCTCCATTTGACCTCCACTACTTGAATGTAAATCTTGCTTTTCCTTTTCCTTTCCCTTTCCTTTCCTTCTTTTTGTTTTTAGAGCCATATCCTTTTCTTTGTCATCAGCAGTTTTAATGCTGACCTCCAGTTTCCATTGTCTCAGGGTTTCACCATCCTCCATCTATAACTCAGTTTTCCCTGGACAGCCCCAGGGCCTGGTTCCTTTCCCCACCCCCAGTACTACACACAGCCTATTGTCCTTTCTTCTCCAAACTGGCCAATTAGCTAGCCTAAGTGGCTTCCCAGCTTCAGCCTTGCTTGTTTTATTCTTTCAACAATGGATCAGCCAGAAATATCCAGTTAAACTCATGCCAGTGCTGGGCATGGTGGTGCACAACTATTATCCCAGCACTTGGGGGGCTGAGGCAGGCGGTTCGCTTTGAGTTTGAGGCCAGCCTAGGCTACATAATGGGTTCAAGACCACCCTGAACTACACAGTGAAACCCTGTCTCAAAAAAACAAACCAAAAAAACCAAACAAACAAACCAAAAAAAGCCTCATGTCAGATTATATCTTGCATTTGCTCAGTTGCTGTGTTGATATCTTGTTGCACCTAGGGCAAAAGCCAAAATAAATATAAGGCCACATAAACACTGTTACTTCTTTTCTTTTCTGACTTCATCATCTTTTTCTCCCTTTTTTCATCCTATTGGTTTTGTTTGTTTGCTTTGTGGTTTTGTTTTGGGGTTTTTTGAGACAGCGTCTCACTAATGTAGTCCATGCTGGCCTTGAACTCTCAGCAATCCTCTTGCCTCACCCTCCTGGGTGCTGGGATGACAGACATCCACCACTATTCCCAGCTTTCCTTCTATTTGTTCAGTTTGTTAAGTATCCTTTTTGAAAGCTGGTGATAGCAACTTGAGATGTTTCTCATCAGACCCAAACAGGATTAAAGGTGGATCTCAGCTCGAGGCTGCCTGTCTGAGATAAGAGCTTTCTCAAGGATTTTCTAAAGGTTCAAAGAGATTTCTTTTCATTCTACACATTTCCATGCTTTATATGCCTTGCAGATATGAAGACGTTTGTGTAACACTGTTTATCTTCCAGATGCTATTGATGGATCACTCGCCTAAGAGTGTCACCTCCAATGCCAGCTCCCACCTCAGGTCTCCAAGACCAATGAACCCTGTCCCAACAGGAACACATAAATGCCTCCCTTCTTGCTTTAGCAATCTTCCTGTCACCTGGACCTCCTTAAATATATCTATAGTTTACTACTGCACACATATTCCCATGGAAAAATTCTGCTCTTTGTGAATGAATATGATTCAGAGAATCTCTTCTTTGACAGCTGCCACCTCCAGGATTCTGCAGTAGCTCTGCCATCTGAATCCTCAAAGCTTCCACGTTTCATTCCCTTGGTTTCTTCAAATCTTAACTGAAGAATCATTTCTCAATTCTGGGATACCCCACCTCAAAAATCGATTGTTCTTCTGATACCTATACCTCTACTTCATATGCCTCCTCTGCTATATTTTTCTTCTTCTAAAACTTACTGCTGCATAGTTTCTCTTCCTTGTTCATTGACTTTCTATTTGACAAGGATGTAAGTATTTTCTATTCATCTGGCTTACTGATTTTCCTCCTAATGCTTAGATTAGCATCTGGCACATAGTAGGTACTCAATAAATATTTCTCAGAATGAATGGAGAGTATCTGAAAATATAATAAATCAATATCGAGAAATAACAAAGAAATGTATCAATATTATATTAGCAAGCACTCAGGAAATTTTCAGGGCACAGTATGCTTTGTAGCGTTCACAATGATGATCATTATGCCTCCCAGCTCACCAGAGACTGAAATATAACTGAACTCTAGAACATTCTAGCTACAGCCTTATTCTCATTGTATCTCAAAATCCCACTCCCATTACAAGTAATTTCCAGACATTGCTGGTGTATTCTCAGAAGTTTTTGGCCTATATATTATTGTAACTTAGAGAACTTAGAAAAATACATCTACAGATAAGAACATTTTTTAAATGGCCTTATTACACGTTTTGCCTATAACTCTCAGTCTTATAAAATATGATTAGGTGAAAAATGACAACAACAAGAGCATATAGTCATCTTTTATAATTAAAAGTTCACCATAAAAATCGATCCTATTTACTGTGAAAGTTTTCTCTTATTCCAGGGAGGATCATTAGTTCGCCAATGTAGTAAACATTTCTTTGCTTAAATGTAATGGTTTACTCTTCTACATCCCTCAGATGGCAGTCATTTCATTTGCAATTTGCCAGTGTAAGACTTTAAAAATGACTCTCTGTGAAGGATGCAGAGATGAAAGTCTGGAAGTCCAGGTAGGTGGGACACGGAGTATCGAGCCTGCCGGACTGCAAAGTCACCACCTCAAGCCAAGATTCTAACCCTAACTTCTCCAGCCTCAGAAGGAAAATTTTATTCCAAACTTCTAGCAATGGCTACTATGTTCTTTCACAATAATCCACCTCACGCTGTAGGGTGAACTATTTTTCCTTACATTTATATGGCCCAAATTTGCTCTGCAGAGCCTGTTAAAACCTTGCTACTGTTAAAAAAAAAAATCCTACCACCACTGCTATCAAATCTTTCTTTCAGGTACATAAGAAGGCCTCTTCCTAAATAGATAAATCCCTCAAAGAAAAAATATTTAAATACTGACCACAAAATGTACAGATTTAAATACAACATGATTAATAAAGCCTGCTAAACAGTCTTGAAATCATTCCTTTCAGTATGTTTGGGAGCTATGGATCACTCTGGAAATTTAAAAAAAAAATTACAGTACTTATAATCTGACCTTCCAAAAATAATCTAGTTAAAAAGTGAGTATTGGGCTGGGGATTTAGCGCAGTGGTGCCACCACCTACTTCACAAGCGCAAGGTCCTGAGTTCGATCTCCGATACCCCCCAAAAAGTGAATATTCACAGTGCTTTCTGCAAACCGTATTTCTGAAGAGCAAATAGCTTTAAATGTGTTACAGTATTCCTGAACTACTCAGACTTCTTGCCAGTTTCACACAGTCTGTATAGTAGATGCTGGGAAAAGAATAATGCAAGTGTTTTGAAAATGAGAAAATGAAGTTGGGTATGGTGCTGCATGCCTGTGATCCCAGCACCCAGTAAGCTGAGGCAGGAGGGTCACAGCAAGTTTGAGAGGCCAGCCCGGGCTAGACATTGAGTTCAGGAGCAGCCTGAACTACATTGTGAGTCCTTGTCGGGGGGTGGGGTGGGGGGTGGGTATTATTTTTAAATGACTTTAAGGGGTGGAAGATAGGAACACCGAATTATTTTTTGATCTTTGGAGATCAGACAATTCATCTATTTCACCATAAACTGTGCTTTTGGCTCTAGTGATCGTGAGGTGCCTCAGAGGTCAGAAAGAGATGAAGGAAGTTGTATGGAAAGTTGCAAACTATTTGGTCAAATAAAACCCCAGTTCCTCTGACATTGGCAATGGGAGAATCACAATGTGGAAGGGATAGCAGGGCTTTCCTGGCCTGTCTGGCTTCTAGGATTCACCCCGAGGCTTTCTCGGTGTTTGCTGACACTGTTGCGCCACCTAACCCGCCTGGTGTCCTGGACCAGCGGGGACACCTGTCCATGCCTTTTCTCCCGACTGCAGAGCATTGCTGAGAAAAGTCTCCAGGGCTCCCCAAGGCCCCGTTCCAAGGGTAGGGAACACGCTTCGGCCTGTCCAGCTCAGCTGACCACCATCTGGGCCCAGCTGACCGCTGTGCACCGACTCTTCAGGATCGCCCTTCCTCGAGGGACCGCAGGGAAAAGGGGCTGCGTCTCCTGCCAGTAAAGTCTTCTTCCTCGTACCCCATACAAGAAATTGACTTGTACAGCGGCCGTGCAGTAGTCACTGGCGCTAACCGTAGAGAGACCTCCTGAGTCTGTAGCACCTAGGAGTCAATTCCACAAGTCCGGCAACTCTACCATTGCTAAGGAAGTCCAGCAGGTCTTGAGCGTTATCACTCACCATGGATCTGATGGTTAGACCAAAATGCCCAGCACTTCATCTATCTTCTGAAATATATGGTTTAGTAATTTGAACCATTTACATATACAGCTCACACCTTCTATTCTGATCAAAAAATAAAGAGAATTGTTTTTGCTAGAAAGAATGCTTAAATACATTGCAAGCCATTATTGGTGAATGAGGGATCCCATGGGGGAAAATTTTTAGGGTAAATAGACATTCACCCATTAACATTGGTTCAGTTTTTACTAACATGGATAGATTTCCACTCTACTAATACAATGATTTTTTTTTTGGGGGGTACCGGGGATCGAAATTGGGACCTTGCGCTTTCGAGGCAGGCGCCAGAACCACTGAGCTAAATCCCCGGCCCTACAATGATTTTTTTAAATACTTAATTCATCTATCTTACTTCCTGGCCCTAATTTATAGACTCCTCCCAATGAGTAAGATCTGAAAACTTTTTTAAAGGCAAAATTAATATTTCCTTAAGCTTTGATCACTAATATAGAAATAAAAGCATTAAATAATTTATATGATACTAAAAATACAATATATGTTTTGTACTCCTTTTTTAAAGTTATGAAATCACATTACCTGATTCGACTGTGATAATCCTAGGACAGTTGGAAAATCATCTTTAAATTCATCCATTAGGTCCATAATTACTTTCTGGATCCCCTCAACTGAGAAAAAAAGAAAAGAAGAACAAAACTTTAAAAATATCCCCTAAAAATAAAATAAAATAAAAATATCCCCTAAATGATTCACGAGAACATGGGAAACTGGGTTCATGTTCTAGGCACTGAGAAAACAAGGGAACCCTGGGGGATTTTATTCCCAGTTGGCCCCATACCCATAACCCGCTACAGCAAGACTGTACTTCTTCCAGAGAAGTTCTTCAACACCTGCCCACATATCCCCACGACATGTCTGATGGGCATGGGGAGCTCTTTCTTGGGTCGCTAGTGCTTAGCAAGCTTGCAGGCCTGGGATAAGGGCAGCCTTCTCCTCAGGAAAGCAGGCAAGGACAGAACCCGCAGCTCATGCTGGAATTCTTTGTTACTGCACAATGGGCCTCTGGGAGCTTGTTCCAGAATCTTCTGAAATCACTCTGGCAGTGAGAGGAGGAGGAATGTGTGTGGAGCACAGCGACAGCAGTGAGGGGACTGAAAACTGAACCACACTGAGAAGTTCTACAATATAAGTTGAATTTTGTCCCAAATTCTGCAGTGATACCATTAATGGATCATCTGAGAACAAGGCTCCTTTTGAAAAGTGCTGGCCTGGGCTTTAAAAGAAATGGTTCACATATGATGCCAAGTGGGAAAGAAACACAAGCGAATAATTCAGAAAGACTTCTGAACAGATTGTTTGTCCTTCACCCAAATGAGGACCACTAGGTCAAACCCAGGCAAAGTGCAGTCTTCGGTTTGTCTTCTTTATAATCCCAGGGTTTTTTTCTTCATCTTTTATCACCTAGGACTCTCCTGCTTCAGATTATCATTATTTTCCTCTGACCAAACCTGGGAAGAACTTGATATCAGATTTGATTGGTTACCTAGTTCCATTTTCATGCGGATGAGTTAAGAGTCAGAGAACTAAAATCCCATTTCAGTTTGAACCCTTTATACTTAATTGTAGCTTGACTGTTTTCTACACCAAGTATCAGGCTGTGGCTGCCGAGGTCTATTCATGGGAACTGTTTGGGGAAAAAAAATCTTCACCAGAGGATTCCTCTAGCACACAAAGCCTGCCAGGTCCCTGGCTTTCACACTGTCCTCAGTCCTTAATATGCCTGAAAACACTCTCCACCTCCCCTCACCCACCTCTCCTAACCAAATGCAGCCCTTCTTCCCTCCAACATGACCCCAAGGCCTAAGACAAACATGCTCTTAACGTTTGAAAAGTGCACTTCAGTATCAGAGAGAAAATCTTGGACAATCATGAGCACACAAACTAGGAATCTGTAAGATAACGCAATATTTTGATCACCCTATCCCAACCCTTGGGATCAGAGCCTACCTGAGAGGAATGGATACCTGGTAGCCCCTTCTCTCAGGTCTGGCCTGTTCTCCTCTCCCAGCCACCCCTAATTCTTTTGTTTATCTGCACACGCCACTGTCTGAAGCTCCCAGTGGTTTTCTCCTCTCTTCATCAGTGCTTGCCCACCCCCCTCTGGCAGCCTAGAATTAACAAATGTAAAAGGAAAGCATTTCTTCTGCTAATATTTACCATCCCTGGAGCATCACAGACTCTGTGATGCTAACAAAGTTCTTTTTGTTTTCTTACTTAATGAACCTGTCCCTGGAAGGGAAATGGCAAAGGGAGACAGGAAGTGATGAAGTAAAATCCAACCTTGCCAAATGTATTTTATATTTGCAGTCTTATCTGACAATATTTTGGTTTGGATTTGATTATATTTTCATACCTATATCCTTATAAATCTTACACTGTTTCAGATTATAAATTTAGGCAAAATAAATAATGTCAGTGGTTATCGTCCTTATTAATTTTCTATTATGTTACGCTTTATGCTTCCTGATAAAGTACCACACACTTATAAAACGAGTTAGGAAACAATTACAAAGACCAAAATAATTTTTTCATAACAGTCATACAGTTTTATCTGTATTTAGAAAGTTTAATACAAAAAATAGATTTGCACATAGCTTTGAAGAAAACAAATAATTCAAGTAAAGTCAGTGCTGGCTTAGAGAAATAAAGAATTTTTGGGTTCAGTCAGGCCTGGGTTTGAATTCCAGCTCTATTCCCTACCAGGGTGTGTAACTCTTGGCAAATTACTAAACTTTCTATCCTTAAATTTTACCTTTTAAAATTTGACAATAATTACTTAAAGGACCTGAAATGTTCAATAAATTGCAGGTATTATTAAATATACAATACCATTTTGCTTTTGGAAAGTTGCAAAATGTGAATACAAGTCAGTTCTGGGTTTTGCCAGTTCACATACATTTCAGCTTATTTTGATTTGCATCCAACTGGCTGGAACCCTGATAACCTGCCTAACTGGGTTCTTCCTCCAAATCTACTCCAAACTCAACTGATTCAGAGATTTACTCGTAACTTCAAGTATTATCTTCCAGTCCTCAAAGCCTAACCTCAAAACTTGCCTGCCATGTAAGATTTGTTTCACAACTGTCCTTGGCCCGCATCAAGGATTTGGATTGGAAGCCATTTGCTTTGGGAGCCACTGCACAAGAACAGTCCTATGGGCACTAGGACTGTATTTCTCCGCTCACAGCAGGCTTCAAGATTGTGCATGTCTTCCTTGAGAACATACTTTGAAGTGAAATAAATCAGACAAAGATCTTGAAGTATCACATCATTTCCCTTGTTTGAGAAACCCAAAATGTAAATAAAGACCAAAAAGGATGATAGATATTGTGAAGTAGGAAGAAAATGTTCAAATGGGATGGGGAACAAGGAGGGCGGGAGGAGGAAGGAAAGGGAGGGAAAAAGAATAAAAAATAAAAAAGAATGTAAGGAAATCAAAAGGAAAGTTTTGTAATGGGAGAGAAGAAGAAGGATTGAAGGCAAGGGAGAGGAGAGGGAAAAAAAGAATTAAAATATATTATCAACAAGTACAAATTCCCTGTGATGAATGTGATCATTGTGTATATCAACAGTGTACCACTAAAATTAATTTTTTAAAATTGCAAACTATAAAGGAAAAATTAAAAAGAACCTAGCACTAAGGAAGCTGAGGCAGGAGGATCACTGTGAGTACGAGGCTAGTTGGAGCTACATCATGAGTTCAAGTTCAGCCTGAACTTTGTAGTGAGACCTCATCTCAAAAAAGAAAAACTAACAAAAAAGAAAACAGATTAGTGGTTGTCAGGAAGGAGGGAATGGGAGTGACTGCTAATGGATGTAGGGTTTCCTTTTAAGGTGATGAAACGTTCTGAAATTAAGTAGTGGTGATGGTTGTACAACTCTGTGAATATACTAAAAAAATCACTGAAGTTCACACTTCACTGTGTGTGCATGTGCATGTGTGTGTGCTACAGGAGACTGAACCTAGTGCTTTTGAACTGAGCAACATCCCCAGCCCTTTTTTAGTTTTTCTTTTGAGACAGGGTCTCACTAAGTTGCTAATTTGCTCAGGCTGGGCTTGAACTGGAATCCTCCTGCCTCAGACTCTTACGGTGCTGGGATTACAGGCATAGGCCACAACACTTGGCTAAATTTGCACTTTCAAAGGTTAGTTTCATGATATTTGATTTATATTTCAATAAAATTCTTACAAAAATTTTAAAAAGATTGTGCATGTCTAATTCAATGGCAGATGCTAATAATGTCAAAATAATTTTAAAAATCATTATCTGGAAGAAGGAAGCTGACATTTATTGAGGGCCAATGTGCTAAGGGCTAGGTTCCACCATTTATCTCTTTTAATTCTCTATGAGGTAGGACTATTCTGAAACCAATCTGAAAATATCAAACAATATCAAACAAATAATATACTGGTATTACCAGGTTAGGACATGGCAAACTGGCTGGGGAAGTGGACGTGACCTGTCAATTACAAAGTTCCAGGACACGTGCACAGAATAGTTCTCAAAGCACTGTACCTGGAACCAATCAGAGAGTGCTATCTTCAATTCTTCTCGCGAGAACTCCAGCAGGTTTTTGATAGGACAGCCTAGAACTGACATCAGCCTGAGGGGTGGAAGATACAAAAGATGGCAGCCACTGAGTGCTTGGCAGCTGTGCTCTATTTCACAGTGCTCCACTGTTACTCTCTAGAATGTACTTCTTTTCCTATGTATAGTTGGCCTGAACTCAGTCTTCAGGACATGATTTGTTTTTGTTTTTGTTTTTTTTTCTTTTCCTACCTTTAATAAATGCAAAACCTTGCTACTTTTTGCACTTGTCTTGACCAATTCTTTGCTCAGGACAGAAAGAACCTAGAAACCACCTCAAGGAAAAGACTTCAGCACCCAAAAAGCTGGTAGCATTCTGATACTTTGATTATAGCTTTTATGACCCTGAGTTAGAACTACCCAGCCAAGCTGCACCTGAATTCCTGACCTACAACAACTGTGAGATGATTATTCCTGTTTTAGCTGCTACATTTTGGTGTAATTTGTTACTTAGCAACATATAAATAACAATTCATTTAAAATAACAATAACATCATTTTTGGTAAAATAACTGTATTTCCCAAAATGAAAAAGGTAGCAAACTGAGTGATAATTGTTTTCATTTTTCACAAGTCTCTTTTTTCCCCCAGAATTCTTCACAGCAGCTTTATTTGGAATAGTCCCCAAAGAAAAACAGTCCAATTATCCATCAACAGTAGAAAGGCTAATCTATCGTAGTTTCAAGTAATGGGCTACTACATACCCTAAAAAAGTGAACTTCTGATACAATAACATGGATGCGCCTCAGATATAATGCTGTGCAAAAAGAGGATATGTGAATAATTCCATTTTTATAAAATTTAAGAGCAAGGAAAAGTTATCCACAGTGATATAAGTCACTGGAGACTGGGACTGGGACTGATTAGAGGAATGAAGAAAACTTCTGGGAAGCTGGCAACATTCTGTATTTTTCTTTTTTTTCCTTTCTTTTCCTTCTTTCTTTCTTTTTTTTTTTTTTTTTTTTTATTTCTTTTTTTTTTTTTTTTTTTTTTTGTGCTCAGGATGGAACCCGGGCCCTTGCATATGCTAGGAAACATTCTATATAGCTTGACCTAGAAGGTGACTGCCCAGATATTTACACATACAATGACTCATCACTCTAAAAATTGGTGTACCTTACTAAATGTACGCTATATCTCAAAGTTAGGGAAAATAGGAACTGGGTAATAAAAACAGTTCCTGGGTCTGAGGGAGAAAATCTATTTGCAAATCTCTTTAATATCTAGTTTTGCAAATCTCCTTGATAACTAGTTTTGAAGAACACACCTGGCTTCTCATATCTGTTTCTGGATTTAATCTATTGGAGCACATTGTTTGGGTTAATATAAAGAAAATCCTGCCTCATACAGATACATAGCTGCAAAAGAAAGAAGTATTTTAATAGTTTT